AAATCTCCTGTAATTGCCATGCTCAGAGTCACTGTTACAGACTTAGTGAGAGAGACTTAGCTCTCTCTCTCTTTTTTAAATTATTTATTTGGCTGCACTGGTTCTTGGTTGCGGCACACAGAACCTTTAGTTGTGGCATCTAGTTTCCTGGCCACGGATTGAACCCAGGCTGCCTACATTGGGAGCACCGAGTGTCAGCCACTGGGCCACCAGGGAAGTCCCCAGTGTATACGTGTGTTGCTTTTCTTTAAAAAGGGTGGGGGCCAGGTTACAGGAGTGTAACCTGCTAGTACAGTGCACACCTTTTTCTGTGCCATGAATGCTCTTCTAAAACAGGATCTGGATAACTGCAGTTTTGTCATATGGATATGTTGTTCTTCAGTTAGCCAATCTCTGTCCAGCATTTGCTTGTTTTTCTTTTTGTCCTAAATGTTGCTATAATAAGTGACCATCCTGACAGATACATGATTCTCTCTTGAGGATACATTACTGGGAGTATATTTGCTGTTCAGAAGCATTGCCCATCTTAAGGCTTTGGAACTGCTTTTCAGTTGCTAAGTCATGTCCAACTTTTTGCAACCCCACGCACTGCAGCACGCCAGGCTTCCCAGTCCTTCACTATCTCCGAGAGCGTGCTGAAATTCATGTCCATTGAGTCGGTGATGCCATTCAACTACCTCATCCTCTGTCACCCCCTTCTCCTCCTGCCCTCAGTCTTTCCCAGCATCAGGGTCTTTTCCAGTGAGTCAGCTCTTTGCATCAGGTGGCCAAAGTATTGGTGCTTCAGCTTCAGCTGAATATTCCAATGAATATTCAGGACTGATTTCCTTGAGGATTGACTGGTTTGATCTCCTTGCAATCCAAGGGACTCTCAAGAGTCTTCTCGAGCACCACAGTTCGAAAGCATCAATTCTTTTGCTCTCAGCCTTCTTTATGGTCCAGCTCTCAGGCTTTGGTGACAACAGGCCAAATTGCCTCCCCAGCTGTGTCATCTTTGATTACTCTGGGACTATGCCAAACTTTCCCTTGATTAAAAAAAAAAAAATCTGCCTTCTTGATAGTTTCTTTTAACAGGCTTTCCAGTAAGATTTTTTTGTCAGGATTATAGTAAATTCTCGGCAGATGAGCTTTTTTGGGGGGGATATGGACCAGTTTCAATGTCTTTATTGAATCTGTTAATACAATATTGGTTCTGTTGTTTATGTTCTGGTTTTTGGCCATGAGGCGGGTGGGATCTTAGTTCCCAGACCAGGGGTCAAACCCACACTCCCTGCATTGGAAGGTGAAGGCCCCTGGACCAGCAGGGAAGCCCCTGCAGATGAGTGTTGTCCTGCCATGGCCAATGCGGCCTCACCTGTTGCAGCGATATCAGGTCTCAGTGGCTCATAACAGTCAGAATCTCCTTCAGGAGCCCATACACACAGTATACAGTATGATCCAACATCAAAGTGGCTTAAGCAAAAATGGAGTTACATTTCTCTCCTATAGGTGTTTGTCTGTGGTAAGTCCAGAGCTGGTCCAGGCAGGCTAGAATGGCATCTGCACCCAGTCCTGCGAGCTCCATCATCCTGGGATGTGGCTTTCATCCTCATGATCCAAAGTGACCGCTCAAGGGCCAACCACTATGTCCCCATTCCCAGTAGAGGAAGAAGACAGGTGTATCCCTTGCTTTTAAGGGGTACCCATCACTTCTGCAATCAGCCAAAACTTATTTAGTCACACAGATACAGCCAGCTGAAGGGAAGGAGGGAAATGCAGTGAAAAACAGCCCAGATAGAACTGAGGTCCTGGTACTGAAGACATCAGAGTGGCTACAGGAGACAGCTGTGCTACGTACTGCTATGGGCTGAGTTGTGTCCCCTGAAAATTCACACGTGTTCTAACCCCCAGCACCTCAGAATGTGACTGCAGTTGGAGAAAGGGTCTTTAATGGTGTGATTAAGATAAAATGAGGTCATGACAGTGGGCCCTAATCCAATATGACCATTGTCCTTACAAGAAAAGAGGGTTAGGACCCAGACATGCACGAACGGGGGCTCCCCAGGTTTCTCAGCCGTAAAGAATCTGCCAATGCAGGAGACGTGGGCTCGATCCTTAAGTTGGGAAGATCCCCTGGAGAAGGAAATGGCAGCCCATTCCAGTATTCTTGCTTGGAAGATCCCATGGATAGAGAAGCCTGGCGGGTTACGGTCCATGGAGTCTCAAAAGAGTTGGACGGGACTCAGTGACTAAACAACAAAAACAATCCGTAGAAGGAAGAACATGCGAGGATGCAGGGAGAAGACGGCCATCTACACAGCAAGAAGAGAGAGAGGCCTCGGGAGGAAGTAGCCTGCTCACACCTTGGTCTTGGAGTTCAGCCTCCTCCAGGACAGCGAGAAGATAAATTCCTGCTGCTGGAGCCTCCCAGTCTGTGGGGCTTTGTTATAGCAGCCCTAGCAAACGAATACACTTATCTGTTGCCAATCACATGGTGGCTCAACCACATAGGATGTCACAGTTGTGAATCAGGACTTTGGGCACAGCTTAACGAGGTCCTTCACCCCCTGGTCTCCTGAAAGCCTGCCTTCAAGTACCATCTGCCTCTCACCTGAGAGGTGGATGGGGCGGGGATCTGCCTCCAAGCTCCTGTGACATTGGCAGGATTTCGTCCTCCCTAGGCTGCTGGCCACCTGGGCCTCCCACTATGGCAGCTGGCTTCAAGAACATGTGTAAGCCGAGAGGGTATGGACCGCCAGCTGGAGGGAAGGCTCAGTCCTCTGTAACGTAAACCCAGGAGCCCCACCTTTGCCCATTACACTGTTAGAGGCGTCAGTGAACATTCAATTAACAAGTTAAAAAAGAATTTTATTCAAGCTAGGGGATGTATGTATACCTATGGCTGATTCATGTTGAGGTCTGACAGAAAACAACACAATTCTGTAAAGCAGTAATCCTTCAATTAAAAAATTTTTTTTTAATTTGAAAAAAAAAAAATGAAGATTATAACCCAGGAGACAAACTCTCAGAAGCTTTGAGAGAGCCTGTTAAAAGCCCAAGGCACAATCCTATACAGTTTTGAGACAAAGGATCATACATCAAAGTTCACTAAGGATATAGGTAAACTCTTACTAACTGAGCAGCAAGTCATTACGACCCCCTACAGAGCTGGGAAAGAATGCTAATCTTGTAACAAATTGCACTGCTAGGTCAGAAGGAAGGAAGGTTGATCTTTGCAGTCCAGGTGGCTCTCCCGTCTTTGAGGTCTGGTTAATGGGTAAGGCAGACAGCACAGAGAACTTTCCGTTTGACTTTTTTTGTCTGGCCTTAATAAGTAAACTTTAATCAGAAGCAAGCCACCAGCGACAGCCCACACTCAGGGTACTGCCAACCACAGTACCTGATCGCCTGGAGCCCAGCCACTGCAGTCTGTCCTGTGGACAAGGGCTGTTATTATATACATAACATTAGGGAACCGGGACCCCAAGGCTGGCGGCATGTTTCTCTGAGGTCCTTGCCCTGAAGAGGGCCATTGCTGTTCCCTTGGGGACAAGGTTTCCTGTGGCAGTGCTGGGTTTCCACTCACCTGGCTGCTTTGGGAAAACGGGCTCTGAAATCAGGTGGAGATGTGGCTGGTGGCCCAGAACAGGGGACTTCTCCTGGGGGTCACCCACGTGCCACCCCTCTGCTTACTCTGGGCGCCCCCTCCAGGTGGTGAGGCTCTGGAGCCCCGGGCCCGCCCACGCAGCCGGCCTCAGCCAAGGAGCGGGACACCCTCCTCCTCGGTCAGGCGGTCATGCCGGTGGGGGACCTCTGGGGCCAAAGCTGCTTCTTGCTATACCAGCCACGGCCTCTCAGGGCAGCAGGCGCAGACCAGGGAGGTTCTGACCAGCCGTGCCAGCCCCAGGCCCCTCGGTTCTTCCCTGGTCTGCGCAGTGACCCTCCAGGGATGTGCTCGTCTCCGGGGAGCACACCTGGGCTCCACCTGAGAGTGCCCTGGCTCCGCCCGAGGCGCACCACTTCCCCCTCCCTCCTCTGCAGGGCTGTCCCGTGATCTCTCCCTCCACCCCGGACGCTGAGTGGGCAGGCTCTCCCGCGGGGTCTCCATCTCCGAGCCCGTGACCGGTCCGCCCTGCTACCCGCGGGCACCACCCGGGGGCTCCTCTCCTAGCGGGTTCTCAGCCAGCGAGACGGAGGCTCACAGCCGCCGCGGCCCGCCACTCGCCTCAACGCTCCCCTCACTGCGACGCCCCGCCCCCTTGCCTCGCATCGCCCCGCTCCCACCGCACCTCGACCCGCCTCGCCGCGCTCCGCGCCCCGCCCTCTCCGCGCCGCGCCCCTCGTTCTCTCCAGGGAGGAGCGCGCTGATGTCCGTGGCCTCGGCGGCTCCAGAAGGCGAGACGGCGGCCGCGGAGAGCCGGGCGCGCGCCGCGTCTGGCCATTGGCGGAGGCCGCCGCCTCCGACCATCAATCCCGCCGGCCTGGCCCCGCCCCGCCCGACGGCGGAGCGTCGCGGGGCGTCAGGCCGAGGGGGCTGCCGGGACAGACCCAAGATGGCCGAGCGCCTGGGTTCCGTTCCTGCCTTCGGCCCCGAGTCTCATTCATTGCTACGCTGCTGAGCGGAGCCGCGAGTCAGCCTGAGGGCTCCGGGCTCTGTCCCCGCGGGGCGGCAGGCCGCCATGGCGACCCTGGAAAAGCTGATGAAGGCCTTCGAGTCCCTCAAATCCTTCCAGCAGCAGCAGCAGCAGCAGCAGCAGCCTGCGCCGCCGCCTCAGCCGCCTCAGCCCCCTCAGCCGCCGCCGCAGGCGCAGCCGTCGCCTCAATCCGCGAAGAGCCGGGAATTTGGAGCCCGAGTGATGCGGGGACAGTGGTGACCTCATGCCCGGGGACGTCGGACTGGAGGGCGGGGGAGCGCGCGCGGTCCAATGGGGAGCCTCTGGCGGGGCCCCCTTTAAACAGCCTGGGAGTCAGTCGGGCCTGTCTTTCAGCAGCCTCAGAGCTTTTCGTTTAGTTCGCGGGTCGCAGCAGAAGAATGAAGTGTCGGGAAGAGACCGGCTTGTCTCAGTTCAAATCGGTCTGCAGGCCCCTTAAATGAGCGGTGGTCTCCCCGTAAGTGTTAACTTAACCTAGATGGTTGTTATTAACACAGGAGAAACAATAAAACGGACTTCAGTACTGGAAAGAGTGGACTGAAGTTTATTGCTTGTCTACCATTGGAAATCAATCACGTCTTGCGGAGGGAGAGGTTAATCGCCTTGGCGAGTGATGTACATTTCACGTGCATCGCAGTCATACTGGCCAGAACCTGGATGGGTGTCTGCGGACAGTCTCCTGTAGCAGACATCCTGGTACTGTTCGGCTGCTTGTGCTAGGGAAATTTTCGAAACAGAAGCAGAGAGACCGTTTGATGTCACCTTCTTACAGAACCCGAGTACTTTTCCCTGAAGTCTTGGGTCTTCCGCAGAGATCAGGGTGTGCCCTGCTACAGTTCAGGCCTTTCTTTCACGTGCGGGCATTTTATTTCTCATCTGCATTTGTACAAGAGGGCATTTAATGAGGACAGTTTTCGGGAAGCAGCCCCTTTAAGAAGTTCCCCTTAAAGGTAAAGTGGATTCATTTTTAGTAATGTTTTCATCTTTGTTTCTGATACCATTCCTTGCTGTGTCCTGAGGTTTAATCAGGAAATGAGTATTTGGGGAGTCATTTTGGCTTATCTGTTAAAATGTAGCAGCAAAGCACTTTTTCTGCTAAAAGGTGAAAAACCTATTTGGATACTTTGAGAAAAAAGAAAATCTTTTTTTAACAACTTGACTTTTCTTTGCAGCAAATAACTTATAACTGTGACCCATTCCAGACTTGGCATGGTGCTTCTCCTTGGAGGTAGAAGTCAGAGAGGTTCATGCATCTCTGCATCTGGTGGCTCTTGTATACAGACAGGAAGCACTAGGCAGGGCACTGGGTGGGAAGGAAGGTCTTACTGCCATCCCTGTCTGCCATTCCAGCACTTGGTCAGTCTAAAATTATACTTTCTGTTTCTTATGCTGATTTGACAGAACCTGAATATGGTATCGTCTTCAAAATATGGATGTGAAGAGGTTTCTTTCTTAAGCCAGCTTGACAAAGTATTTAGTCTGTCATCTTTGCATAAACAACACATTAACATGATACAAATTCCTAAATTGCAGACAGGTAATTAAAATGTCTCTCTTCTGTTCCTTTCTCCTGAGTACCTCACTCTGTTCCCAGAGGCAAGCACTGTTAACACTTCTTCCTTGTGTATCCTATGTGGTATAACTTGTGTATATATATGGATAGACTTTAAACTTTTTAAAAACAGAAATACTTCAGAATAGCAGCTTTGAAAGGTTCTTAGCATGCTCTGAAATCAACTACATTTGGCTTAATTATAGTTATAAAATGCATAAATATATTTTTATGTACTTGGCTGTTGAGAAAGCAAATATTCATTAATTTTGAGTAACAAACTCCCTGCCTACAAATTTGGACCTTAGCATTTCTGTCCGTGGGCTTCAGCTGAAAAATCCCTTCCCCACGGTGAGACCAGCCAAAAGCGATGAGAAAGTGGCGGCTCCGTCTTTACGGCTCTCACTCTCTGTGGAGCTGCAGTGGCAGCAGCTGAGCCCAGGCTCCGATTCAGGGTCTGGGTGCCTGCTCGGGGCTCAGTGTACGGTATGCAGGCGTTCTGCGCGGTGCCGGCTGCAGTCTCTAGAAGGCTGGCCTGCAGGGGAGTATGAGAGCTCGGCAGGGTCCTCATTGCAATTATGAGGCAGTTGGCATTGGCCTTTGGCACTTTTTCACTCTCCTTCATATTCCCTCCCAGTTTTTCCCTGACTTTAATTATTTGCTGAACATCTAACGAGTGCCAGCCAGTTCCTAAATAGGCGCAGTGCTCCAGCCTTGAACACATAAAACTCTGCCCTCATGAAGCTCACATTTTAGTGAGGGACATAGACTGTAAACAGGATACATAAGTAAAATACATAGTATGTTAGATAGCGATAAATGGAGGGGGAATAACAGCAAAACAGGGAAGGGGTCTAGGAAATGGCAGGCTTAGTAAGGTAATGACGGTTTTTAGATAGGATGTCCAGGGAAGGGCCACTGAGTTGGTAGCTTTTGAGCAAAGACCAGGCCCAGGGAGCAGGTCCAGACTTCCTGAAGAGGACTAGCGAGGTGGTAGGTGTGGCCTTTTGAATTCAGGAGAGGAGACTCTCAGTGGGAGCTGAGGCCCAGGAGGTAGAGAGAGTGCCTCGCCAGATCAGTAATCCCTTCCAGATGGAGTAAAGACCATGGCATTTACTCTAAGTGAGGTGGGAAGTCATTGGAGGGTTTGGTCAGAGGAGGGGAGGATGTGAGTTCCGTTTTAAAATGAATACTGGCTGAGAACTGAGTTGGCGGAGAGTCTGGGCAGCAGCAGGAAGCCAGTTAGGAAATTGGTGACGTGATCAGGTGAGAGATGATGGTGGTGAATTCTGTCAGGCTGTTGGCAGTGGCAAGGTGGGAAATGGCTGAATTTTGAAGGTAAAACCAACAGGACTTGTTCTTTTCTGCTGAGCATGGTTTAGCCATAGTTGGTGTTATCGTTTAGGGTTACATTCAACTGCAAATAGCAGAAAACTCTTCTGCAGTAACTTAAACAGGTAAGAATTTATTATGAGACAAAAACAGTTCGATGTGAGGAAGTTCCACAATGGTTGGTACCCAGATTTTTTTTGTACTTAACTTGTAAGTCCCTGTCCTCATTCTTTCCCATTTTTTAAGTTGAATTATTGTCTTTTTATTGTTGAATTGTGACAGTTCTTCATAATATTCTTGGTAACAGACCCTTGTCAGATACACGATTTGTGAAATGATACTCCCTCTTTTGGGTTGTCTCCTCACTTTTTTTCCCTGCACTGCATGGCTTGTGGGGTCCCAGTTCCCTGACCAGGGACAGAACCCAGGCCCCCGACGGTGAAAGAATGGAGTCCAACTACTGAACCACCAGGGAAGTTCCCCCCCAGACAGGCTTTTAAAAAAAATATTTTTAAGATACGTTTATTTTTGGCTGTGGTGGGTCTTTGTTGCTGCATCCAGGCTTTTCTCTGGTTGCAGTGAGTGGGGACTACTCTTCCTTGCGGTGTGCGGGCTTTAGGAGTTGTGGTGCATGGGCTTATTTGCTCTGAGGCATGTGGGATCTTCCCAAATCAGGGATTGAACTGGTGTCTTTGCGTTACAAGGCTGATTTTTAATCACTGGACCACCAGGGAAGGTCTTTTCCACCCCCCCATACAGTCTTGACTTCTGTTAATTTTGTATCACAATTTCAAGTGAAATGTGAGTCCTCCAATTTTATTCCTTTTCAAGATAGTTTTGGCTATTCTGGGCCCCTTGCGTTTCCATTTAAACTGTAAGAGCAGATTGTCTGTTTCCGTGAGGAAGCCAGCCGGGATTCTCTGATGGGGATTGTTTGGAATCTGTGGATCAACTCGGAGAGTATTGGCGTCTCATCAACATGAAGTCTTCTGATTCTTGAACACTGGCCCACCCTTTATGCGTGTGGTCAGACGGTCAGTGTTCCAGGCTTTGCGAGCACATCTCTAGCTGCCATTCAGCTCTGCCACTGTGGATCAGAGCAGCCAGAAGCTCCAGGGAGATGAACAAGTGTGCCTCTATTCCAACAAGATTTTGTTAATGACGTGGAACTTTGAATTTTGTGTCAAACTTTCCCGTGTCATAAAATATTATTCTTTGATGCTTTGTTTTGGTTGGTTTTCTTTTTTTTTTTGGTCAACCATTAAAAAATGTAAGAACACTTAGACTGTCCAGGACAGGCAGGCTCTGGTTTGCCCCCCTCCCCGGATTAGATATGCTGAGACCATTTTGGGGAAGCGTTTCTTCTTCGGTTGCTTTTTCTTAACTAGCTTAAAAAATTATTAAAATTATACACATACATTGTAACAGCATCTTCAGCTAGCACAGAAGATGACAAGCAAGACTTCCTCCCTGGCTGTCCTAGCCTTATTCTCTGAAAATAACAATTAAGTTTCTTTTCTCTGATGTTTTAGTGGATGTACAAGTCTTTGGTTTTTTTTTTTGCTCACTATATTTTTTCACTTAGCGATATATCAGAGATGTTGTTTCATAGCAGTACATGTAATTCTTACTGGTTGGCTATGCAATACTGTAGAATTTTTTTTCTTTCTTTCTTTTTTTTTTAGAATTTCTTTTTAAAAGAGGACTCACAGAGGTGTAAAGGCAGAGGCCTTTCCAGTGCTGTCCACATTCAGAGGCCCCACCCCATTGCCTCTGGTCCCTGCAAGTGAACCCGCCACTCAGTAAACCATAGACAAGACTTGCCACGGATCCTTACTGCTCAGCGTGTGGTTTCAGGGCCAGCAATTCAGTATCACTTGGGAGGGTATAAGACGTACAGAATCTCTGCCTGACATTAGACCTACTGAGTCAAGAGTCTGCATTTTAACAAGGTTTGTGAGCAGTTTATGTGCACATAAGGCTTGAGAAGCTCCCCTGTCGATGATCAGGTCCTATCTCTCTGATGTTACAGTATAATATAAAATATAATTAATACAGTAATGCCATCTGCATTTGGGAGGGAAGACTTAACGGTGCTCATGGTGCAGCTGTAGCTGAGGCGGTGTTTCTCTGTCCTTGGCCGTGGGGCGTTTGTGTGGCTGTAAGTAGGTTGTAACGCTGCCCAAAGAGCTGTGTGGCATTAAGAGTCCTGGCTGCTGGGGACGGGGCCTTATGTGGAGACTGGATGCGGCGACCCAGAAGGACTCCTTTCAGCCAGGCGCCTGTTGCGTGCCAGGCCCTGTTGTGGGCCCTTGGGTTACAGCAGTGACCAAGGGCTGGTGATAAATCCCATGGAGAAACACGAAACAATTTAGGGGAGCGGGGCTGTGGGGTGTGGCTTAGGGTGTGAAGCGCAGGGAGGGAGCAGGCTGTGCAGGTGTCTGAGGGAGCAGCGTGAGGAGGCCGGGAGGGGAGGGGAGGGGAGGGGCAGCCCGGGACTGCTCCGTGCCCCAGTCTGAGGACTCAGGATATTCCCCTGCCCAGATGCACACTTGTGTTGTCAAATGAGTGAT